TTCTGAGATATGGGATAATAGGGTCAAGCCTTGGGCTATAGACAAAAGAAAAGGGGCATATACAGTGGGGACATTGTTTCTTAGTCTTCTTGGGCTAGGTGGGCAGTGCCAGGAAAATATCCTGCTACCCCCATCCATGAGGGAGGTAGAAAGACAGGGCCAGGCCACCTAGTATTCAGAAGGCTGGATGATGGTGCTGAGCAGTTTGAGGGGCAGCTGAGCATGTGCCAGAGGGACTTAGAGCACACATAGGGCAAGACCCTGATAAGCAGCTCAGCAGGAAACGGTCTAAAGGAAGCAGGTAGAAGGCTCTTAAGTCTTAAGGAGCCAGTGGCTGTGTGCTGTGGTTTCCCCAGAGTCTGGCGCAGAGCTTCTTCCTTTTCTACTGGGCCACCCCAGAGTTGAGGCCCTAAGCCTCAAAGTGGAAGTGGCTATCACTCCAAAAGGAGGAGACAAAACAGGGCTCTGCTTTTTAAATATTCCAGTCAACTTTCAGGGGCTAGTTCTGGCCAGTGTGACCCTGCTTCATCTCACTTGTGTCCTCAGCATGGTGCACCAAGAGACTATTGCTGAGAGGTGTGGCCATTGAGGCCTGAGGGGCATAGGAACCCACTTAGGGCATTCAGAAAGCTCGCACTTGGTGGGGTACAGGATATGAGTCTGTAGGGGATTAGGAGAGGCTTATGCAATGTGCAGAAGGAAAGAATTGATTCCAGCTAACGGAGCTGGGGAAGGTTGAGACCTGGTGCCTACTGAAGTACGGGGCATCTGCAGTCCAGGAGGTCTTAGGGCTGGAAGTACAGCACACTAAGTGAGGGTAAGGGTGGGGGAGCACTGAAGACTTTATAGTAATAAAGCGTCATGAACAGAGGCTAGAGACCAGGAGAGCCCTCTGGGTTGTAGGCATAGAATCTGTGTGGCTGGACATGTGGCATGCTCCTGTATTGTGGAGTGAGGTTGGAGGAACCTTGGCAGGGGAACCCAGGTAAATGGTTGTGGGAGAGAATTTATGGAGTATAGGATGCCAGGGATATACTAGCTCCCCATCAGAAGATCCAGAGAATAAGAAGAGAGATGGCACCAGTGGTTTTGTCTTCAGAAAGGGGCCTTGGTTCTGGAAAGAAATCAGTCACTTAGAGATGCCAAAGGAGGGAAGAGGGAAAACAGAATTAGGGCAGATATGGGGCAAGGCTAGGGACTCAGCCAGCCCACCAGGCGCCAGCTGTGGGATCTACCTTGGGAACAGGCTAACATAACCTGTGATGGCAGGATGAAGGAATTGGTATCAGGAGAGCTTGTGGACTGGACTGAGTGAGGCCTGCAGACAAGGTCTGGGGTTCAGGATTCTTATCCACTAGCCAGGAGGGAACAGCCTATCTCCCAAAGAGCTTTGGGGCAGCTAGGCCTCAAGGACAAAGGCAGGCGGGGGCAGGGGATGGAGCCTGTAGCTGTGAGCTTAATGGCCCCGGAAAGGGAAAAAAAAAAACCATAAAGCTGCAGAATTACGGGGAGACATAAACAGAGCTGTCAGGCATTAGCTGCAGGGAGACGGCTGAGCAGGGTAGAGCTGCGATCCTTGCGTGTGCATAAAAAGACAGAAGTTATCAAAGGAACCAGATTAAGGAGCTGCTGTCTCTGCCATACTCGGGCTCCCTGGCAGATTCCTTTCTCATGCCTCAGCCTGCCGGCTCTGGTCACATGCTGACCCAGGGGCTGGATCTTAAGGATTGGCCAGGGCAGGGGGTAGAGCTGCCAGTGATACTGGATGTCTGTGTGGACAGGGCAGAGCATGGAAGCCAGGTCTAAGGAGGGAGGCGGCACTGACCCTGGCAGTTTATGGCGTTCACACTCCCTGCCACCCTCATTTTTGCTGTTGCTGCTGATGACGTTAGTTAAGCACTAATGGTCTTAAATTTCATCTTAAAGCATCCCCATAGTCCTCGGCAGATGACAAACAGCCTGCTCTCCTGAGCTGCAGAGATGCCAGCCTATGGGCAGGCGTTTGCCTCTGCCTGTGCAGATATGCGGTTCCCTCGGACAGGGTTCTGAAGAGGACAGGTTACTTTGGAGTACCTAATATGTAGACAGGAGCTTGGCCTGAGGTTTTGGGGCGCCACTTGAGTTCCCCAGCCCAGGCACCAAGATGAGGGCCTGGGAATTATCTGCCATGTACTTAAAAACTCTAGGGAATCATGTTTTTTTTTTTTTACAGGCCTAGAAAAGTAGCAATGTCTTTTCTCGAGGGTGGACTTCATCCATCTACCTATCCACTCATTCATTTGACAAACATGCGGCCCTCCACAGCCTGATCCTTCCTGCCCCAATTCAAACACATCCGTCAAAGGCCTGAGCTGTGCTTTTGAGTTTCTTAGGATAGCAAGTGAGCGTCTCTAAATGCAGTTGTGTGGGAGAAGGTCTCTTGTTGGTGAAGGTTCCTGAAGGTTGTGAGGGGAAAATGGACAAGGAGCCCTGGAAGCTGTGTGGACCAGGAGCCAATCTAGTATGTAAGGAAGGCAGGCATATCTGAACAGGTGGGTACCAAAACATCTGCAGACCCCCCCATAGAGGCTACGTGGCATTCTCAGTGCTCCTGTTGACCTTTGCCTAGGTCCACAGCCATCACTCGGGGATGCCCTTCCTTCGCTGCAGAGCTGGGGCTGACACACAGCTGTCCATCATTCCTTTTTGTCCTAGCGCCTGCCTTCCGTCACCCTGTACTAGGAGTGGTTCTCCCTCCCATTGATTCCCAATGAGACAAGGAGGACATTTGAGGAGGGTGACCACCACCAGGCAGGCCTTACCCTCTTTAGCAGGGCTGGTGAGCTGGACATGAAAGTTTGGTAGGCTTTGAGTCCCATGCTGTGGGGGACCCCCCTTTGTCCTCTGGGCTTCAGACATGCACTAGGTTACCTGTAAGAATTGGTCCTCCCTGCCTGGTTCTGGGCCACCAAGAGTTGTCAGACTTGAGGACATTCATTGGCAGGTTAGTAGTCTGACCCCATCACTGCTCTCTAGGAGATACTCTAGCTTCATCTTAATGGACCCTCCATTATTCGCCCCTCACTGTAGCCACAATGAATCATAGCGTACATATATCTGGTGGTGTCACCCCTGCTCTTGTCTGCTCTGCAGCTCACTGTCACATAATACATTTGTGATCTGGGTTCTACCTGTCTTGTTTCCAAATCCAACTTAAGAACCCACATTTTCAGACCTTGCATCTTGGCCTCAGCAGCCTTTTCCCTTCTCAGTAATTCCTGTAGCTCCCTCAGGACTCAGGACTTCCTCTGGGTTATCCCTCTGATCCTGTGTCCGTCCCACGTGTGAGTCCGGCCTTTGTCTTCTACAAGGGTATTGATCTTTTGCTGTCTCTGTGTGGCATAGAGTAGACACTTGGGAGCTGCTCAGATGGAAGGGTAGTTGGCAGGTTGGTAGATGGGCAGGTGGTGGTGGGATTATAGACGGGTGAGTGGGGAAGAAATGAATGAGTGGGTGGGGGTCAGAGTGGGTGGAGGGGCTTTCTAGTCTATTGGAAAGTTCAGCAGCCCCAGGAAGTGAGCTTCAGAGCCTTGAGCAAGTCTGTCTTCAGTGAGCCTTGATTTCTCTGTGTGCAAAACCATCTGCTCAGCTCGAAGGTGGCCAAGATGACAGTGGGTCAGGTGTACCAGACAATAACCACAAAGGAAACACGTTAGCTTGAATGGAGCCCCTGCCCTAAAAGGACCTTCTTTTCTGAAGGTCTCGCCTAGTGCCCCTGTGCCGACTAGAGTATCAGGGCCAGGCTTCAGTTTAAACCCAAGTCTTGATACTCTGCTCCCAAGATATCCTTTGGCCTCTTAGGATTTAATTGCATTCTCTATAAGGAAGGGTTCTTGTGTTCCTTATGGTTTCTCTGGAGATAAAAACATTGTGACTTATGCCCCGACTACATGTAGAGTCTTCTGCCCTGAATTATATAATGCTATTAGATCTTTCATCGAATACACAAATGCCCTAAGCCTTTTTCTATGCCTTGTTTGCAAAGTGCAGAGAAAAATGTGACTGATGCTCAGAGCAGAAGTCAGGGCCTGGAAGGTCAGTGAGTTGGTCATAGTGTGATGGTAACAAGGCATTTCTGTTTCTTAGTGGGGTCTCTCATCCCTGGGAGAGGGATGTTTAACTGCTATCCCTACTTAAAGGTTGAGGAATCACAGGCCCAAAAGGGGGGTAACTCACCTGAGGTCACAGAGCCAGTCAGCCCCAGGGTCTTAGGTACTTGGTGTTTCTTTCCAAAGACTCCTTTGAGAACACTCTGGAAAAAGCTGGCTCTAGACCACAGTGAAGCACAGCAAGCTATCCAAAACCTTCCACAGGCCTGGGGCTACCAGGGCCTTCAGCCAGTCTGTCAGTCAGTTCCACCCAAAGTTGCCACATGTGACAGGACCCTGCTCCGGCCACTGCCACAAGGCCTGTGCGCCCAAACGGTGTATCTGCCAACCTAACAGTAACCAGCTGGTGGGAGGATGGAAGTCAGACTTGGGTGACGCCCAGGAGTTCCTGTCTTCCTGGCCACACCTTTGCAGGCAGCAAAGACCAGTTGGGATTTCTAGCCTTTTGCCTCTGCTATAAAAAGTATGTCAATATTTACCTTTCAAAAGGACGGATAGGTCCCAGGTCTACTCGAGGCTGCTCTGACAGCTCTGTCCATATGATCTCTTTTAATCTCTACTTGCACAGAGCCCCACACAGCTCAGTTAGGGGTAGGATTTGATCCCTTATCTCTAGCGGTCCTCAGTTCCTAGCCTTTGGGTTCACAAACTCTGGGTGGCATCTGGCTGTACATTTTACATGCTGTTTTGTTGGAAAGATTACAGAAGGGAGAGGAAGGTTGCACAAAAACTATAAGAGTGCCTTTGAACACCATCCCGGTGGCAGCTGCCCACCCGTGAAGATCTATGTAGACAATGTCAGACCCAACTCTATACCCTATGGGAGCCTTAGTATCCTTCGTACCAAAGAGAGTGCAGGATACAGGAAGTTGTAACCTCTAGGCAGCCTGTCTCCATCCAGTCTTGCTGAGGTGGAGGCAGGTGGCCTGTGGCCTGAAGGATGCAGCTTTACTCATAGAATCAGTTCTGCTTTCCTTCTCATTTTACTCCCCTTGTTGTTGTTCCCTTGGGTGGACACTTACTTAGGGGGACTCCCGTGCTGTCTGCTGCAGGTAACTGACGACTTTGCACAATGGCCACATGGAGTTTTTATTTGGATCCATATTGCCAGAAGGTACTTCATCGAGGTAGAACTAGTTAACCTCTCCACCCCATCTAGACCAGGGCTCCCCTTTTCCATGTGTCACCAGCCAGGCAGAGGCAGCACCAGGCCTGTATCTCCTCCATGCTGAGAAAACCAAGTGAGTGGTGTCCTGATGAGCACCCACAGAGCTGGGCCTATATGAAGGGAAGGGCAGGCCTGACTGGAAGGAGCCCAAATCCAGCACCACCACCCCCACTCCACAATGGGTATAGTCTTATAACCTTGCCAGTTGGGTGCCTAGGACATTTTACATCTCAAGCGCGTGAAACATGGAGTGGTTAAGTAAAGTGCCCAAGGTTACCCAGATATGTATGCAGGGGCTGAGATTTGAACCCTCAGCTGCTCACTGTCAGGGCTCCATCATGGAGGATATGGAGAGATTGCATCTCTTACTCAACTCCAAGTCCCATGAGCTTTCCAAGTACCCTGGCTGCATTAACCTTTGGAGCATCTCGGGAAAGGCTCCAATCTGCCATTCTCTACCAATTATGAAGAGTTCTCCCACAAGTTTCCAAAGTGAGGCAGCTGTGGGTCAAGCCAAGTTAGCTGTATGCAGCTGGAAAAGGGCCCGCCCCAAAGTTATGGTCTGAAACTCAGAGAGTTCTAGAAAAGATGGATGCAGTCAGAGGCAAGATCCAAGTGGGCCTGGGCCTGGGTACAGAACCAGCAACAGTGTACAACAGCAAACAGTTGGGTACTGGACTTAGCTGCACAGGCTTTGTGTTTTCTCACTTCCCATCTTATAGTTGTGTGGAGAGGTAATCAGCCAGCTTCCCATTTGGGCTCAGGAAGGTCCCAGTAAGTTTTCCCAGGTTGCCCCTGGAACAGAGGCTGCCAGCTTACTCTCACTGAGGCTGGTTCTGTCAGGACAGCCACCAGCATGGCACAACTGGAAGTTCTCCTTTTGCTGTGGTGAGAGCAGCTGCAAGCCCAGCACTTCCCCAGCTTGAAAAGTCGTTAGATCAGAATCAGCAGTAGTCTAATCTGTTGGGACAGCGTGGCACTGCACAGGAACATCCAGCCATTGGCGAATTTGGAACTTATTATGACAGCCATTTGGAGGCAGTATATTTGGAGGAGGATGCTCTGGGTGAGATTCAGTCTTCAGGTAAATAAGAGATCTGTAGATTCAGTCTCATGCCAAGAAGCCCTGACAGTGGGTTGGCCATTGTGACACTTCTCTCCTGTCCCTGTCCTTCTCCTCTCTCCCCCTGCAGACCAGTGTCCTGAAATTCTATGCCTGTTTATTTGTTTTTACCCCGAGGAACCACGTTTCATCCCCCAGCCCAGCTTAGAGCCCTGCCTTCAGAGCCCCCAAAGAGTAGAGTCTAGGACAACCTTTTCTATTCTTTGGTGCCAGTTCCACTTATGGACGTGAGAATTGACATTACACCTTGGGAAGGATAGTTGAGGGTGGAAGTAAGACCTCTGGAGGCACCAGGAGGTCTCTCCAAACAGCATCAGCCTCTGGTGGGGAGCAGGGGTAAATAGTGAGATGGGAAGAACTTTCTAGACCCAGGGAAGGCAGAGCCCAATGAGTACCATCCCCCAGTACCTTGTTTCTGCCTAAGCACCAGTCCTCTTCTCCCTCCTAACCCTGCCTGGCTTCCAGGGCCCTCCCAGCTTAAAGCCACCCTAGGGTATCAACCTCTCTGGCCTGCTAGGCCTCTTATGTGCTTGCTGCTGCTGTGGGGCTGCACTGTGGAGGATGAACCCAGCCAAAACCCCAGCCTCTTACAGCCATTTTTTTTTTTTCATCTAGTCAAGACAAGCCTAAAGAGAACAGTCTCCAGTGCCCAGATAGACTATGTTCTTTTCTGTTGCTAAACCAGTGGTTCTCAACCTTCCTAATGCTGCGACCCTTTAATACAGTTCATGTTGTGGTGACCCCCACAACCATAAGTTACTTTTGTTATTATTTCATAGCTGTAATTTTGCTACTATTATGAATCGTAATGTAAATTTCTGTGTTTTCCAATGGTCTTAGGTGACTCAGTGAAAGGAACACAACCCACATGTTGAGAACTGCTATGCTAAACCCCTGGTTTCTGTGCCTGGGATGGCCACCACTTCCTTCACTTTCCCTGCTCGCTGCCACCCCTAACTGCCTTCTCCTTAAAGAGGGAGGGCTCCTGAGACTCCAGGATTGGGCTAAGAACAGTCTGGAAAGCGCCAGGATACTTGGGGGACTCTGTCAAATGCTGGTCCTGGCTCGGCTGCCCATCTGATGCTCAGCTCTTCTAAAGAGGGCACAATGAGGTTTAGGTGGGTGGCCTTTGGGAGAGAAGGGCAACCACAACCGACGCGAACTTCCTGCGACCTCATTCTGAGGGAGGAAAGGTCTGAAGGAGAGCCAGCTAGGGTTCTCCCTAGGGCAAGCCTAGGCAGACCAACAAGAGGAGTAAAGCAATCGCTGGAGCTTCCTGTGTGTGCTCCTGGCATTTCCCCAGACCCTGGCTCGGGAAGGGTCTTCCTTTGAAGTTTCCGGCAAGACCAGCCCACTGCTGTCCAAATGGCTTGTCTAGTGGCGTAGGGAAGGGGACTGGAGGTGGGGGTGGCTGCGCCCCGCTTGGCGCCGCTGCTGCCTGAGGGTCCGTGCTTTGGGAGCTCCAGCTTTTGCGAACTAGAGGATGCTGAGACCAGGCCGAGAACCCCAGGGGGACTCGGTGCTCCGGCCGGCTGTTTCAGGCTGGCGGGGAGCTGGAACCGCCTCGCACCGCCACTCCGCGCTGGGTGGGAGGGAGCGAGGGAGGCGAGGGGACGAGCGCCGGCTCCCCGCCCCCATCCCACCCGGTTCCGATATTTAGCTGAAAGGCACGCGGCTCCTAATCGGCCCTTTCCAGGCTGAGAGGTAGCGGCGCTCTGCCCGCTCAAGGGCGGGGGCCGGGCCGGGGGAGGCGCGGAGTCCGGAGCCTGCGAGCGAGGTGAGGAGCCCGCGTCCTCGGCTGCTGGAGCGGGCGGGCGGGCGCGTACCGCCGAGGCAGATATAGAAAGGGGGGCAGGTTAAAAATAACCCTCTTCGGCTGGGAAGCTCGCGCTCACTCTCTCGCCTCGTTCGGTGCCAGAGGACTCCAGGGGAGGTGGCGTTGGGGAGGGCAGCGCGGGATTCCCCTCCTCCGCCGCCGGGCGGGGTGCCGCCTGCACGCCACGGCTGCACGTGTGCGGGGCCGCGCGCCTGGGCCCCTCGGCCTGGCCCGCGGCGCTCTCCCCAGCCTCGAGCTTCTGGCTGCCGCCCCGCCCGCACCCAGCGCGGCAGTAGGAAGCGCTCCTTTATTCATTATTTACGAGCATTAATAGGTTTGGGGCGCGCGTGCTGGGGGAGGAGGCGAGGATGCCGCGGGGACCCAGCGTTCGAGAAAGGGTGCGGACCTGCGGGAAGGTCTGCCGGGCGGGGGGCTCGGACGTGGTCCTTCGTGGGCGCTCACTTAGCCTAGCAGGGTGCGGGGGCTGCAGACCCCACGCCCCGCCCTGCACGGTCCTCGCCGCCGCGTCCCTGACGCAGCCCTGGCCTCATTTATCATCATCTTTGGTCAAGTGGAGTGTGCAAGGAACAGCTGCTTCACTCGGCTGACTTCCGAGGGCGGCTACAGCGGGAATCAGGAAAATGAATGATGGAGGCTGGGGGGCCGCCCCCAGGTCCGGGTGCAGGCGGGAGGGAGGCGAGGGGAGCATCCTGGCTGCCTCTGCCTCTTGGCGAGCGCAGCGCCCCCTTCCTCTCCGGGCGCCCACAGCCCGGGCGGTTCGCTGGCCGAGGACAGGCGGGTGTGCAGGAGGTCGCCGTGACCTTGCTGGGGTCAGTGGGCTGGGCTGCGGAGGAGGCGTCGCGGCGTCTTTGGTGGCCCTCTCCGGATTGGCGGAAGGCCGGGGAGACAAGGGGGAGGGGAGGGGAGTACCAATGGAAGGTGAAATTTTACCTGCCCCTGAGGGAGTCCTGCGGATTTTCTCCCGGCGACCGCCGCGTTCTGCCTTTGTCTTACAAGGCCGACACAGCTGTAGCCGCGGCGGAGAGGCCGCAGACCCCACCCTCCGCGCGGCTCCCCAGCCAGCTCTCCGCTGCTGCCCGCACCTCAGTGTGGGGTCCTTGCCCGCGCCCTACCCCGCCTGGTGTCGATGGGGCGGGGGCTGGTTGCGGGAAGGGTTAATGGCCTAGTCGCAGACCCTAATTGTCAGAGCTAGGCCCCGCTTCGTTCCAATTACCCTAAGTAGAGACTGAATGCGCAATTAACGGAGTCAGCTTGCCAACTGGAAAGCTGTCCCCGCTTTCACATTGAGCGGAATACTCCACCAGCTGACTTGGACGAAGCAATTTCCTCCGCTCTCCCCTTTCTCTCTCCTCCAGCCCCTTCTCTTTTTCTCTCTCCTTAATAATAAAATTATACCAAGCAGTTTGCGGTGTGGCAGGCGGCCAGAAAAGCGTTTCTTTAAACGCCGCCGTCTCACAATTAGGCAGCAAGAGGATTTGACATGCCGAGGCGGCCTGACAGGCGGCTTCCTCCCCTGGGGGCCGGTGCAGGAGGGGCTCCAGTGCCCGGCTCCCCCATACGGAACCGGCACTGGGAGGGGGCCGGGGTTGCACCTCCTGTGCTGTCAGCGTGCTGCAGTGAGAAGCCCTTGGGGCAGGCAGCAGGGGAGGTTCCACCCAGGCTCCGGGAGGCAGCAAGATCTTTCCCTGTTGGGGTATAGAGAAGGAAAGCCATGTTCTCTGTTTCTGTTTGACAGAGAGGCATCTGGGGCACACAGCTGCTGAGCCTGGTGGACAAGTCACTGACCCTCTCTGGGCTTCCATTGATCTCTACAAGTTTGGGATTGGAATGTTGAGGAAGAATGTGCCCTGTTCCTGGGGGCTGGTTGCTTTCCAATGTCGATACTGTCTTCCGAGAAGGTTAAAGACAGCACTGTCTGTCATGAGCCAGAGACCCCTCTGCTGCTGCTGCTGCTGCTGCTGCTGCTGCTGCTGCTGCTGCTGGGAGAGCAGACCTAGAATTCCTATGGTCACATAAGAAGAGCTGCCATGGAAGCACCAGGGACCAGTAACCCGGAAATAGGGTACATTGATCACTGGCTATAAGCAACTGAACTCAGAACTGGATCGAGGTAGGCAGTAGCTGCTATAGGAGGCAGCTGCTACTGGAAGCCACCTTGCTGTTTGCTGCCTCCCAGCTTCTGAAGGGCAGCCACCTCCTTCACCTCTTTCTTCCCCTTCCTGCCCCAGGTGCCCTTCAGCAGCACCGTGGCAGCTTTCTGTGCCTTAGACTACAGGAGCTGTGTACATTCCCCTGGAACCTCAACCCCCTGCCCATCCCCACCTGGACATTTGCCGATCCCAAATGGGCTCCAAGAGCTGGTGGGCGCCAGCACTAAAGGCTGTGGAGGAGAGGATGCAAGCTTCACTGCTGCCGCTTCCTCCTTAGCTACTGTTCCTGTCCTGCCCACCCCTCGCCTACCTCCTGAAACTGCTCTCTGGACCTCATCCCCTGAGGCTGAAGGCTAAATAATATGATAAACACAAAGCCAGGAGTGTCCCTCTATTCCACTTAGTCACAGTATTTATAGGGGCAACTCTGGGGCCAGAGTAGGGCTTTGGAACTTAATGGCAAAATGCAGAAAGCACCTACCTTCAGGCTCTTACCCTTAGGAGGCAGCTCATTGTACCATTAATTATGTAATTACTGCTGTCATGAGCCCCACATGGGAGCCTGGCAGGGGTCCCAGGAGGGGGAAGGGGCAGGGCCTCACCTGTCTCCTGTGGAATGTTACCAGGGCCACTCCCTCCACCACCTCTACAAGCTGTGGCCGACCTCTGTAGGTCTTCAGTCCTTGCTGCACCCCGGTCACTCACTTTTGTTTGCCTGGGCCATGCGGCTCCCAAGGCCTGCTCTGGATCCAGAAAACATTATGGGGTGCTCCTTGTTGCATTGAATACCCAAGTCCTCAGCCCAGCAAAGCCAGAGCTAAACTGCACGGGTGTCAGCTTCATCAGTGTTTGACACCTGGGGCTGATGGTCGAGAGAGAGCCCACAGAGTCTTCTTGAACTTTGCACTGTTTAAATAACAACAATAAAAACCCTTGAGACTTGGTTGATAGCTTTTTTTTAAATGAGTGTGTGTGTGTATGTGTGTGTGTAAAAGAACAACTTTCTGGAGCTGGTTCTATTGTGGATTCCATGGATTGAACTTGATCACTAGGCCATTTTATCTAGCCGCCCTGATAACATTTTTGAAAATGAAAGCCATCCCATACTGTACACTCCTGACTTGTGACCTGTTACAAAAAGAAAAGACTGCTCTGTCCCGTCCCCCATTCCCCTCTACTCCCGTACTTGATACTGAGATGTACAGCCCGTCTCCAACCCCCTACCTAATACTTTGCTCTAAAGTGGATTCTGTCCATCCTTGAGAAAGGGTCTGTGGCCCTAGCCCATGCCCTCCAGTCCCCATCCAAATATACCGTGTCTCGTAACCTGACCACTTATTCTGGATTGTTTTCCCAGGGTTCATGTGACATTTAAAGCATGATTCATTTGATGCATATTTATTATTCTGGGCAATGGGGACATGGTTATGAATAAAATAGGCAAAAATCCCTGCTCCTATGGAACTTTTCACTCGAGAGGAGATTAGTAATAAGTTAAGGCAAAAAGGTAAGTGCAGAAGGAGGCACATGGGTTTCATGTAAAATAAAGTGATCACACTGAAGCCAAGGTGTGGAGCTGGGCAAAGAGGTGTGTAGATGTCGGAATGGTTTTCCTAGCAAAAGCCTTGAGGACCACGGAGGTGACAGGCTTGCCCAAGGTCAGCATCCTGCTGGCATTTAGACAGTCTGCTGCTGGCTTGGCACTTCTTTGCTGCTGCTTCCACAAGTAAGTTAAGTCCTGGTCCTTCTGGGAAGGGGAGGGGACAAGGCTGTACTGATCAGTTTCAGCCTTCTGTAAGGATGGTACAGTACTGCTGGGGCTCGGAATGTGGACCAACCCAAGCAGCCTGGGAACTCCCTGGCTACTCAGGGTGCTGGATGGAAAAGCTCTGAATGTCTGGTCTTTGAACCCTGACTGTGGGTGGTATCAGGGAGGTCTGGCTAGCTTGAACTGAACCTGATAGGAAAGGCCGCCATGCCTATTCTTTGTCTCCTTGTTTAGATGGGTGGTGGTGGATAAAGTGACCCAAAACAACGTATCCGCAGGAGACTGCTGAAGAAGCAGTGGCAGCTAACATGGCTACAGACAAGACAGCCCTGATGGTGGACACAGGGCCGGCTGGACTATGGGCCCCGGCTGCTGAGGGCATCCACCCTGTGACCCATTGCATCCTAGTAACTCTGTAGGGTCGTACTGGTACAGGGCCTGTGGGCATGGGTGTTAGGAGGCCACTCCAGTGCCTTAGCATAGCAGGGAAGATGAGTTGGAAGGGTCTTCTCAGATGTCCTCCAGAGAATTCAGATTCAGCTTCTCATGAGGTCCCCAGCATCTTTTGGGACTTTTTTTTTTTTTTTTAAGGTAGTTTTGCTGTGCCGTCCAGACTGGCTTGTTACCGTGCTGGTAATTGTACTGAAGGCCTCCTGAATGCTAGGCAAATACTCGACCACTGAGCTCTCCACCTAACCTGCCTACTGGTCCTGAACTCGAGATCTGATCCTCTTGCTTCAGGTTCCAGATACCACTTCAACCTGCTGATTTATTTTCTGTTTCAGTGATGGGGCTGCTGACTGCATGCTAGGCAAGCATTGTAAACACCGTGAACTACACCCCGGTCTCTGTCTTCCTTCTCTGCCTGCCTCTGGCTACTCAGGGCCTCAGACCCTTTTTAGGGGACTTGTAAAGAAGGTGTTGTCAGCATGGGGTGGTCTTGAGAGGCTGTGCTTTGGGGTGGAGCTGCCTTGCCATCACTAGCATCCCTGCCTGCCCTAAGCAGGTCCACCAGTCCCCTCCTCATGCTAGACCCCAGTCCAAGGAGTCTAGCCTAGTCTCAAGGCCTGTGGCTGCTCTTGTGGCTTCCATGGAGATTCATCCCTGCCTCCCCAGCAAGCCCAGCCATAAAGACCTCCCAGACAGCTGGCTATGGCTGATGATTTGGGCTCAGCCACGCCGCATATTTCCTGTTATTTTATGTGTGCATGGGTGACGGCGCCCTTATGGAAGCACGTGGAAAAGGACCTCCGGTTTTTCCTCCTACCACTTTTCACGTTTCCTTAAGACAGTCTCGCTGTCTTACTAGCTAGCCAGCAAGAACAGACTATACCTATTTCTCCTCTATTCCTCCCCCCATCCTTGCTAATGGGATTACATGTTCATGCAGCTGTGTCCAGCTTTTTGCATGGGGGCTGGGGTTTCAAGCTCAGGTCCCCATGTTTGTACAGCGAGTTCTCCAACCTTATCCATCTCCCAACTACCAAGTCTTATATTTATTATTCATCTGTAACAAAGAGGGAGGCCCTAAGGGTCCCACCCTAGCCATTGCTCCCTGAACATCTTCTGTCCCTTCCCTGCCTCCTCTCTGGGTTCTCGGGCCTTGAGTAGGTAAGGCTTTTTTCCCCGTTTTCCCTGTATCTACCAACCAGGTCATAAAACAACTCTAGGTGTGTGGGAGGGCCAGTGACTGGGGGCTGCTGGTGAAGCAGGAACATGTCTCTTCCCACCCCTCCCCCACCTTTCCTCCAGATAACATTTTCCAGGGCCCACAGCATATCCATCTCACTGGTGGGGCCAACCCTCAGGCCTGAAGAGGCGCTGTACTAATGACTAGTGCCTGGAAGCTGGCCAGATTCTATAGGTAGGTTTGCCTGCTGGGAGTTGGGGTATAACGGCTCCATGGTAGACCTTACTTACCAGGCTAACGGTCCTGGGTTTATCCCTAGTACCATGAAAATAGTCAGGCTTGCAGGCATGGTCTGACCTGCTGTAGAGGGGTGTGCGGGCAGGTAGGCACCTATGCCTATATTCACCTGGCCTGAACTCAGCTCCCCTTTCTTGCTGTACTCTACCAAGACACTCTTCAGGGTGGGGATTTCTGGGATGGCATTCAAGAGAGGGGTTTGATCTCCCACTCAGCTAGGGTCACCAGCAAGTCCTTAGCCCCTCTGAATGTCACTTTTGGTTATAAAGGGACAAGATAAAGCACCTGGGTGCTTACTGGCCAGCTTCCCCTCTTAGAGTCTTTGGGAGAAGGGCAATGCCCAAGGCTCAATCTTGCCATGCTTTCATGGCTGTGTTGATGGCTTGTGTCTGTGGCTGTTCTGTCAAAGGAAGTTATCCAGACTGCAAGCACTGTCCAGTACCACAAAGGTCTTGAGATTTAGCCTTGCTGGACTCTTCCGTCCAGTGTCTGGGAGTATCCAGTGGTTACAAGGTTGGAGTATTCGTGCCCCTAGGGCCGAAGAGAGTTGCTCTGGATTCCCATCAGCTGCCTGCCAGATTCTGCCAGGGTGGCTGAGGGGAAGTCTTGGCAAGTTCCCAGGGGAAGGGGGAGGGGAAGAAGCTGGGGCAAGATTCCCTTTCCCAGCCTTTACCGCTACTAGTCCAGCCACCTCAGCTGCTTCTCTCCGTGTTGGAAGGTCACCATTACCTGTGGGGGAACTCATTCTTCAGTCTGCTCTCTGAGTCTGCCTCCCTAGTCCTTCGCTATCCCCCTCTTGTCTCTTCCATGTCCTTTCCTGGTGCTCTTGAAAAATAATCATAATCACAATAATTAATAACAACAGAGCCCACAGTAAGCCTGAGGTGGCTCTTAAAGAGGCAGCACCCTGTTTCTCCTGGCAGAGCCAGCAAGACCTCTGCAGCTCCAAGCTGGCAGCTAGGATGCCACCATGCCTGAGCCTTTGTTTCTGTCCCTCCCTCTGCCAGGGTTGGAGGGTGGTGCTGGGGCACATGTTTCTGCCTGTGTCCTCCAACAAGCGCTGGGCCTCTGGGATTTTAATTGAACTGTCTTTTCTTAGAGATAGATGCCTTCCACATCCAGCTGCCTGTGTGCATGAGGAAGCCAGCCTGTAATCCTGTGTGGGGAAATTAAAAGGCGCAGCAGCTGGACTGATTAGATGGGGCAGGGACACTGTTCATGACTCCCCCTCTTTTTAGATAATGTCTCTGGTAACGCAGTTTGGGAATGTGGCTATGGGGGTGGGGGGAGAAGTGTGTGTGTGTGTGTGTGCGCGCACACACACACACACACACACACAAAACTCCAGCCGTAGAAATGTTAATGATATCTACAGGACACTCAGCAGGAAATGAGAGTGATCTGGGACTAATAAAAGCCGAAATGTAATTTGTGCAGATATATGAGGGAGGCAGATGTAGCCTTCGGAGCAGTCCGGGTTTGTACGTATAAACACACACCCAGGGAGGACAGGAAACTGTCATTTCGTGTACTGATCTTGGAAGTGGCCCACCAGCAGTCCTGAGCAGGGGTGACATCCACCTACATCCTGAGTATGCTCTGCTCTTGGAAGGTGGGGGCAGGAGGCACCAGGCCACCCACCTGGAGAGATGCTGCCTCCAGCCCCTCTGGATTAGCACAGCCTGGGGTGTTTCATCTAAACCACAAGGACTGGAGTGAAGTAGATCCAAAGGGTAGGTGGGCACTCTCTTAGTGAGGGGTTAGAGAGGGGTGTAATGAGCTGGGGGTGGGGCAGGCAGGGGCCTTTAACAGTCTGGGGAGGAGGAAAGTTGCTTAGGGACAGCTGGGTCTGGCCTGCTGCTGTGAGCTTTGGGGTTATCTGGATGCCTGGGCATGCCCTGTTCTGGATAGAGCCCCTCTTTTGCTCCCTTTCCCTGGGTCAATTCTAAGACAAAGAAAGGAAGGCACCTTTGTGGGATGGAGACTAAGGGAGGCTGAACCTCCCTGCCAGTGCAAGCTCTCCATACCCACCTCTCACACCTTTGTCTTTGCTGTGAGGCACCTTCCTCTCCACCCCCACGTTTACTTCTCAACAAACAAACAAAACCCCTGAAACCTTTGTGGTCTAAGGCAGGCCACACCTCCCTCTTAGTATTTTTTGGAACAAGAGCTGGAAAGGCCCGGTTCCCTCCTGGGGGCTTGAGCTGCTTAGTCCCAGAGAATGTGTACCTCCTGCCTTCAGCCTGGAAACCCTGACATGTGGGGCACAGGCCAAAACTTGGGGCTATTCCCCCTCTTCCGCCATTGAAGATTTTCTGGGGTAACCAGTCAGTTGAAGGAAACTAAGATACACAAGCTTATGCTGTGACTCTATCCACAAAAGCACCTGCCCTCCTGGTACATCAGACACTGCCTGCCCCTGTCCCCCAGATCGTGGCTGCCTCCATCAGCCCTGGCCTGTGAAAGTTAGCAGCTCAGCAGGAGGGGACAGAGGAGAGGCAGGGTAGTATGCTCTCCAGTGGCCAGGGCACTGCCTCTTTGTCCCCTCTTAGTATGCATCCCCACACTCTGGACCACATAATCTGTTTATGCACCTATGGATACCGAGAACAGGAGGCAGGTGCTGCCATCCTGCAGTCCCAGGAGTCAGAGGAGGGGGGCTTTGTGTGGACAGTTGGCTTAACAGCCCCCAGTCAACATCTGCCAGAAGGGACGGAGTCCAGATGGCACTGCAGGGGAGGTGTGTGTGAGCGTGCATGTACATGTGCCTGATAGGTCCTTTGTACATGTGTGGATTCCTGTATTGCCGGCACAGCAGCCTGCAAGCGGCCTCTCCCCGACCGGAGAGGGGTCCTCATGGGTACCTGGTGTGGTTGGGTCATGCTTAAGTAGGACTACACAAAGATGGAGATTATGAGATCCAGTAGGGCCCCAGGGAGCAGTGGAATCGCTCTGCTAATTTGAACTGTCTATGAGAACTGGGCGTGGTAGTACAGACAAGCGGGCAGAGGGAGGAGCTGGCAAGAGGAGCCTGGAGTAGCCATTCCTGTGACTTGCTGCGTGCAGCCTGTTTTGGACTGTGCATGTCAGTGGCCGTTCTCCTTAGCCTGGCTCAGCTGCGGGCACTGTGGAAGCAGGATTTCAGAGCACATCTCCCAGACCCAGAGGTTGTCAGTGTGTGCACAGTGGTGGGAAGGTGGCCAGGAGGGGTGCTGGCTGAGGCAGAGAGAGTGGAAGATGGCCCGTCTGAATTCTTTTCCCTCTGCACCATCCCTTCTCTTCACAGATAACCGGCCCGAGTCATGCAGTCTTTTCGAGAAAGGTGTGGTTTCCATGGCAAACAGCAAAACTATCCACAAACCTCACAGGAGACAGCGCGCCTGGAGAACTACAGGCAGCCAGGTCAGGCTGGGCTCAGCTGTGATCGTCAGCGGCTGCTGGCCAAGGACTATTATAGCCCACAGCCCTATACAGGCTATGAGGGTGGCGCTGGCACACCTTCTGGCACCGTGGCCACGGCAGCTGCAGACAAGTACCACCGAGGCAGCAAGTCCCTGCAGGGGAGGCCGGCTTTCCCCAGCTATGTTCAAGACAGCAGCCCCTACCCAGGGCGTTACTCTGGCGAGGAGGGTCTTCAGACCTGGGGGGGCCCACAGCCACCACCTCCCCAGCCTCAGCCCCTGCCAGGGGCAGTGAGCAAATATGAGGAGAACTTGATGAAGAAGACGGTGGTGCCCCCAAACAGGCAGTACCCTGAGCAGGGCCCCCAACTTCCCTTCCGGACTCACAGCCTGCATGCCCCACCACCACAGCCTCAGCAGCCCCTGGCTTACCCCAAACTCCAAAGGCAGAAACCACAGAATGACCTTGCTTCCGCTCTGCCTTTCCCCCAGAGCAGCCACTTTCCCCAGCATTCTCAGTCCTTCCCCACCTCCTCCAGCTACGCCCCGGCAGTGCAGGGTGGCGGCCAGGGGGCCCACTCCTACAAAAGTTGCACAGCGCCATCTGCCCAGCCTCATGACAGGCAGATGAGTGCCAACGCAAGCCTGGCCCCAGGGCAACGGGTCCAGAATCTTCACGCTTACCAATCGGGCCGCCTTGGCTATGAGCAGCAGCAGCAAGCACTCCAGGGCCGGCACCACACCCAGGAAACTCTGCACTACCAGAACCTCACCAAGTACCAACACTATGGTCAGCAAGGCCAGGGCTACTGTCCGCCGGACACAGCTGTCAGGACTCCGGAGCAGTATTACCAGACCTTCAGCCCCAGCTCCAGCCACTCCCCTGCACGGTCTGTGGGTCGCTCCCCTTCCTATAGCTCCACCCCGTCACCACTGATGCCCAACCTGGAGAACTTCCCCTACAGCCAGCAGCCGCTTAGTACTGGGGCCTTCCCCACAGGCATCACAGACCACAGCCACTTTATGCCCCTGCTCAACCCATCCCCCACAGATGCTGCCAGTTCTGTGGACCCCCAGGTCAGCAACTGCAAGCCCCTGCAAAAGGAGAAGCTCCCTGACAACTTGCTGTCGGACCTCAGCCTGCAGAGCCTCACGGCACTCACCTCGCAGGTGGAGAACATCTCCAATACCGTGCAGCAGCTCCTGCTGTCCAAAGCGGCCATGCCACAGAAGAAAGGGCTCAAGAGCCTCGTGGCCAGGACTCCAGAGCAGCACAAGAGCCAGCACTGTAGCCCTGAGGGCAGTGGCTACTCAGCTGAACCAGCAGGCACACCACTGTCTGAACCACCAAGCAGCACACCACAGTCCACGCATGCTGAGCCACAGGACGCCGACTACTTGAGTGGCTCCGAGGACCCTCTGGAGCGCAGCTTCCTCTATTGCAGCCAGGCCCGCGGCAGTCCCGCCAGGGTCAACAACAACTCCAAGGCCAAGCCCGAGTCCGTGTCTACCTGTTCTGTGACCTCACCTGACGACATGTCCACCAAGTCTGATGACTCTTTCCAGAGCCTGCACAGCACTCTACCACTGGACAGCTTCTCCAAATTCGTGGCAGGTGAGCGGGACTGCCCACGGCTGCTGCTCAGTGCCCTGGCCCAGGAAGATCTGGCCTCTGAGATCCTGGGGCTTCAGGAAGCCATCGTTGAGAAGGCTGACAAGGCCTGGGCTGAGGCTTCCAGCCTGCCCAAGGACAACGGCAAGCCGCCCTTCCCACTGGAGAACCACAGCACCTGCCTGGACGCTGTGGCCAAGACGCCATGGTCACAGCCCGGGGAACCAGAAGCCTTGCCTGAACCCTTGCAGCTGGACAAGGGTGGTAGCACCAAGGACTTCAGCCCAGGGCTCTTTGAAGACCCTTCTGTGGCCTTTGCCACCACTGACCCGAAGAAGACAACCAGTCCCCTGTCCTTTGGCACCAAGCCTTTGCTCGGAGCTGCCACTCCAGACCCCACCGCGGCGGCCTTCGACTGCTTTCCAGACACAACAGCTGCCAGTTCGGTGGACAGTGCCAACCCTTTCGCCTGGCCAGAGGAGAACTTGGGTGATGCTTGTCCTCGTTGGGGCCTCCACCCTGGTGAGCTCACCAAGGGCTTGGAGCAGGGTACAAAAGGCTCAGACAATGTGGGCAAAGCAGATACACACGAGACCTCTGCCTGCTTGGGCTTCCAGGAAGAGCATGCCATTGGGAAGCCAGCAGCTTCACTGGCTGGGGACTTCAAGCAGCAGGAGGCAGACGGGGTGAAGGAGGAAGTGGGTGGGTTGCTGCAGTGCCCTGAGGTGGGCAAAGCTGACCAGTGGCTGGAGGACAGCCGGCATTGCTGTTCCTCCACTGACTTCGGGGACCTGCCATTGTTGCCACCCCCTGGCAGGAAGGAGGACCTGGAGGCTGAAGAGGAGTATTCCTCCCTGTGTGAACTGTTGGGTAGCCCTGAGCAGAGGCCCAGCCTACAGGACCCATTGTCCCCCAAGGCCCCACTGATTTGCACCAAGGAGGAAGCAGAGGAAGTGCTGGACCCCAAGGCTGGCTGGGCCTCCCCATGTCACCTCTCTGGTGAGCCTGCTGTCCTCCTGGGCCCCTCTGTGGGTGCTGAATCAAAGGTCCAGAGCTGGTTTGAGTCTTCACTGTCACATATGAAGCCGGGAGAAGATGGGCCAGAGATGGAGAGAGCCCCAGGTAGTTCTGCCGCTTCAGAAGGCTCCCTGGCCCCAAAGCCTAACAAGCCTGCTGTGCCTGAGGTGCCCATTGCTAAGAAAGAGCCTGTGCCGCGGGGTAAAAGTTTACGGAGCCGCCGGGTGCACCGGGGGCTGCCTGAGGCTGAAGACTCTCCCTGCAGGGTACCAGCACTTCCCAAAGACCTCTTGCTCCCAGAGTCCTGCACAGGACCCCCCCAGGGACAGGCAGAAGGGGCTGGAGCCCCAGGCCGGGGGCTGTCAGAAGGGCTCCCCAGAATGTGTACTCGCTCTCTTACAGCTCTGAGTGAGCCCCAAACTCCTGGACCTCCAGGCCTGACCACTACCCCCACGCCTCCTGACAAACTGGGAGGCAAACAGCGAGCAGCCTTCAAGTCTGGCAAGCGGGTAGGAAAACCATCACCCAAGGCTGCATCCAGCCCCAGCAATCCTGCTGCCCTGCCTGTTGCCTCGGACAGCAGCCCCATGGGCTCCAAGACCAAGGAGCCAGATTCTCCCAGCATCCCTGGCAAGGACCAGCGCTCCATGGTCCTCCGGTCTCGCACCAAACCCCAACAGGTCTTCCATGCCAAACGGCGGCGGCCCTCAGAGAGCCGGATCCCAGACTGTCGTGCCACCAAGAAGCTCCCTGCCAACAACCACTTACCCACTGCATTCAAGGTCTCCAGTGGGCCCCAGAAGGAAGGCCGGGTGAGCCAGCGGGTCAAAGTCCCCAAGCCTGGTGGACCAGGGAGCAAGCTTTCAGATCGGCCTCTCCACACGCTCAAAAGGAAGTCAGCCTTCATGGCTCCTGTCCCCACCAAAAAACGAAGCCTCATCCTTCGAAGCAGCAATGGAGGTGGGGTAGATGGGCGGGAGGAGAGGGCCGAGGGCTCTCCTGGCCTCTTGAGGAGGATGGCCTCACCCCAGAGAGCCAGGCCCAGAGGCAGTGGTGAGCCACCCCCGCCCCCACCACTGGAGCCACCTGCTGCATGCATGGAGCTGGCTACACCATCATCCCTGCCCAGTGCCGTGAGGACCAAGGTGCTGCCACCCCGAAAGGGCCGTGGCCTCAAGCTGGAGGCCATAGTACAGAAGATCACCTCACCTGGTCTCAAGAAACTTGCATGCAGAGTGGCAGGGGCTCCTCCTGGGACTCCCCGGAGCCCAGCCTTACCTGAGAAACGTTCGGGGGGCAGTCCAGCTGGGGCAGAAGAGGGTCTAGGAGGGATGGGCCCTGGACAGATGCTGCCAGCAGCTTCAGGGGCCGAGCCATCGTGTAGAAACCCAGCCAGCAGGTCCCTAAAAGGCAAACTCCTGAGTAGTAAGAAACTGTCTGCTGCTGCTGACTGTCCCAAAGCTGAGGCCTTCATGTCCCCAGAGACCTTGCCGTCCCTAGGCACTGCCCGGGCACCAAAGAAAAGGAGCCGGAAAGGCAGGGCCGGGGCCTTGGGACCCTCTAAAGGGCCGTTGGAGAAGAGGCCCTGTCCTGGCCAAACTCTGACCCTTGCTACCCATGACAGGGCCAGCAGCGCTCAGGGTGGAGGTGAGGACAGTTCCAGTGGAGGAGGCAAGAAGCCAAAGACAGAGGAGCTGGGACCGACCTCCCAGCCCCCTGAAGGCCGGCCCTGCCAGACCCAGACAAGGGCACAGAAGCAGCCAGGCCAAGCCAGCTATAGCAGCTATTCAAAGCGGAAGCGCCTCAGCCGAGGCCGCGCTAAGACCACCCACGCTTCACCCTGTAAGGGGCGTGCCACTCGGAGACGGCAGCAACAGGTACTGCCCCTGGATCCTGCGGAGCCTGAAATCCGACTCAAATACATTTCTTCTTGCAAGCGGCTGAGAGCGGACAGCCGCACCCCAGCCTTCTCACCCTTTGTGCGGGTGGAGAAGCGAGATGCTTACACCACCATATGCACTGTGGTCAACTCCCCGGGGGATGAGCCCAAGCCTCACTGGAAGCCCTCCTCCTCTGCTGCCTCCTCCTCCTCCGCCTCTTCCTCCTCCTCCTCAGAAACAGCTGGGGCCTCTCTGACCACATTCCCAGGAGGCTCTGTGCTGCAGCCGAGGCCCTCCCTGCCCCTCTCCTCCACCATGCATCTGGGGCCTGTTGTGTCCAAGGCCCTAAGTACCTCTTGCCTTGTCTGCTGCCTCTGCCAAAACCCGGCCAACTTCAAGGACCTTGGGGACCTCTGTGGCCCTTACTACCCTGAACACTGCCTCCCAAAAAAGAAACCAAAACTCAAGGAGAAGGTGCGGCTGGAGGGCACCGTTGAGGAGGCCTCTCTGCCTCCCGAGAGAACAGTCAAAGGCCTGGACTGTGCAGCCGGCGCTGCTGCCACGGCTACTGCTCCCACCACCACCGTCACCACCACCACAACCCTGGGGAGGCTGCCCAGGCCTGATGGCCCCCCTGACCCTGCCAAGCAGGGCTCCCTGCGCACCAGTACCCGGGGCCTGTCGCGGCGGCTGCAGAGTTGCTATTGCTGTGACGGTCAGGGGGACGGGGGTGAGGAGGTGGCCCCAGCTGACAAGAGCCGCAAACATGAGTGCAGCAAAGAGGCCCCCGCAGAACTCGGTGGGGACACCCAGGAACACTGGGTACATGAGGCCTGTGCTGTGTGGACCAGCGGGGTGTACCTGGTGGCCGGGAAGCTCTTTGGGCTACAGGAGGCCATGAAGGTAGCTGTGGACATGGTAAGAAGCTGGAGAGCTGGGTAGGGGCTGGGATCTTGAAGTTCTGACAGGGTGACAGAGGTGTCTTCAGAGCTTTACTTTGGGTGACTTGTGCCCGTAGCCAGCGAGCAGCCAGAGTACAGGCTCCAGGCCCTGGAGTCCCTTGGGAGTGTGGAGGCAAGTTGGAGTATTCCTGGGGCTACAGCAGGACCTGTTTATCCGCCCTTGCCTAGAGTATGTGTCTCAGTTCTAGGTTCCACTGGGCATTCTTACATACACACTACAAAAACTGGAGCTGCTGGGCCTGGCAAGACAAAACCCTGAGTTGAATGCCAAGATGGCCTGGTCTCTCCTGAACTGGGACATTGGGGATAGCTCCTAAACAACATGCGGCTAAAGCCTGGGACGTTGGCCCTGGGCAGCCCTGGGTTACCTGGCCACAGAAGCCCCGAAGCTCACACTTCCATTCAGAGAACGCTGGACCGCCACAGGCCCTGGGGGGCAAGGTCACAGGACCTAGCTCATTAACACATTGATCTTGAGGGCTCTATTTGGGATCACAGGTCTGGGATGGAGAGAACATTCTGAGCTGTGACTGAAGCTAAGTTTTCCCCAGACCAAGGGGACTGGCAGAGCCACTTCCTGTCTCTGCAGACCATGCCTTGGGCAGCAAGGCTCCCAAGTGCACTCATCCACACTGACCTCACTGGGTGTCCATACCAGCTCTGGTGATTTCCTCCTCCGCCCACTGTGGGCAGCTGAGCTCAGAGGACCCTGACTGTCCAGTGGCCTCCCTCCTTCCCACACTTTACCGTCCCAGCTCCTCAGAAGCACTCTATCCAGGCCCCATCCTTGACCTTGGGGACCACTGTGGATGCTTCCTTTGGCTCCAGGCTCCAGGCATCTCCTGCTCATGGTGATGGCTAATACACTCTCTGGGTCCTGTTGTCTGCCCACCTTGCTGCGAACGGCCTGAGCCACAGCTTTCAGCACCTCAGCCAGTTCATGGAGCATGCAGGCACCAAACCCCCGTCTGCCCTGGCTCCAAGGTGACTTCCTCTTCATCGCTACCTTGAAATAGTCTTGTCTCTCCCTTCATCAGAAAATAACAAGACTGGAGCCCTGTCCCGTGGGATACCTGATACCCTTCACTATAAGGTCTCTTTTGAGGGTCGGGGCTGTGTCATTTCATGTCCCCAACCCCCAGCACCAGGTTCATAACCAAGGATAAACATTGGTGAGTGCAGGGAAAGGCCCTGCTCCCCGACCTGGCCTGCTCCTGCTGGCCTCTTGTTGGACACACACACACACACACACACACAGCATCATGTCGAGCTGAGGAGGGTGTATGAGTCACAGTTGGAGCTGGAGCCACTCACTGCTGAGCCATGTCGATGCTACCACACCCTGGTGTGACAAGGAAGGCCAGGAGAGGCCCTCATTGGACAAGGTTGGCTGTATATTGAAGGCTTGTCCCTGCCAGAGGTGGGCCTGGCTGGCTCATGACTGGCAGCTGGGACCTGCTGCCAGACCGTACCCCACAGCCACAGGCTCACATGGCATGGCCTTGCAGAATACACTGAGGGTTTCTGAGAGTGACCTGCGGGGTCATAGCTCAGCTCATTGTTTCTGCCCAGGGCCTTGTTGGCACTGCTCTCTCCAGGAACCGGGCAGACCCTGGTTCCAATCTCACTTCAGGAGGCGTCATGTCCTCTGCAAACCCCACCCAGGACACTGGCCTTTCCCACTATCTGTCAGCCACCATGCTCACCTTCCAGGTCTCAAGCCACCCACACAGTCATTGTACACCTCATTTCCTGGCTAGAGAGGTATTGCAATTCAGGGACCTGGGGCTGATTCACATCCTCAGGAGACTGGTGGCCTCTGGGTGTGGGTGCCTGGGCCAAGGAATGGGGCACAGTTGATCAGCTGTGCCCCTTCTAAGGGACCTGGGCCAAGAACAAGGTCATCACCCCAGAGGGCCTCAGTCTCTTCTTAACTGCAATGAGCAGTTCTGCCTTGGAGCTGCTTGGGACTGTCTGCCACAAGGGGGCCATGGTTACCCTCAAACCTCGCAGCACTCTGGAGGGCCACTGTGAGATTTGGGACTATCTCCCACAGGGAGGAGGGCATAGTTACCCTCAAATTGCTCAGTGTTCCCAAGGGCCAGAGTGAGAGATTTGGTCTACTTTGCGGTTCCCACTGTCTTTCATCTTCCTTCAGTGGCTTAAGAAGTGGACCTAGGGCTCTGGGTCCTTGGGAGCCCCATCCGGAAGCCCTGCATGGATGTCTTCCTCTCTTGCTGACCTATCCCCAGTGGCCACTCCACCTGCAGAATGTTTGAACAGTATGCACCCTGCTGGGGAAGCATCAATCTTCTGGGCTGTGGTTCTGGGTCCCCCTGGCCCTCTGGAGCGTGAAGTTTATTCCCAGCTCTGTTGTCTGGCCTAGAAAAGACAGTGCTGCGCTGGGACTCCAGCCATGCCTGGCGCCAGGTGCACTGTCCCTTAGCCTCTGAGCCTTCTCTGTCCTCTGCTCTGCTCCTACCTCACTGCCCACTGTGATCACAGGCTTGGGAGCAGTGGTGGCCTGGCCCAGGACCCATCTGGATCCCTCCCTATGCCCAGTTTTGGCGTCCTCCCTGTTAGCCATCTCGTCATTGTCCTATCTAGCCCTGTCACAGCCTCCAAGCCCAACAGAAATCATGGAGACCAGCGAGGGGTTGGACAGGGTCTGGGGGCATCAGATTCACATGAGCTCAGCCTCTTGGGGGTCATATGTCAGCTCTTCCCCTCAGCTCATTTTTGTGCATCTGCTTTGATTGGCTAGAAAGAGCGCCCCTCTCTCACATGGAGGGGGCCTGTCTCACCATCTGGAAAGTGGGGGTCAGTGAAAGCCATTCCCCTTGCCATTACTAGCAGGAGCCAGTGAATGAAGACACCCCAGAGGCAGCATGGAGCAGCACCTGACAGATGGCGACTGCCAGCCATGGCCACTGTGGTGACTAGCACCACTAGCCCAGGAGGGTCCCCCACCCAGTGTGCCAGCCCAGGAGGTGGCAAAGGGCCAGCCCTTGAGGGCATTTCCTCCCCGCGGCATCTCAGTGCCACTGTGGCAGAAGTGCCATGGGGTGTGTCTGGAACACACGAGACTCACTTGCCTTCCTTTCTCTTCAGCCATGTTCCAGCTGCCATGAAGCCGGGGCGACCATCTCATGCTCCTATAAAGGATGTATCCACACCTACCACTACCCTTGTGCCAATGACACAGGTAAGAGCTGGCCTGGGTACAGCCATGTGACTCCCAGGGCCCTCATCTGCCCCAGCAACTCTTTATTATTGTTTCCTTGGCCTCTGCCTGCACTTGGCAGTTACAGAGATGTGGAGATGGGTCGGTCCCTACCTGCCTGAGTGAGGGTTTCCCGGAGCTCTGTGGGGTAGGCAGAGGCATATATGATAGAACAGAGATCTAAGCTAAGAGCTCAGGAAGGAAAGTGTGTGGGCATGGGCTTTTAAGGAGGAATAGGAGAACACTCAGCAGAGAAAAAGGATGGTTCTAGAACAGCTAAAACCAAATGAGCTGAGCATGAGTCTCAGTGACAGGTGTTAGTTGTGAGTGACTGTCCTGTGCTCTTAAACAGAACGTGCCCATACCTGAGTGCCAGAGACACCAGCCCCTGCAATTAATACAGAAAAATAAATAAAACGGGGCATTTAGGTCAAGGTGGAGACAGACCAGCTGGCGTATTGGCTGTTAGGACTCGCCGTGCAGGTCTGTGGGGATGTGACAGGCCCCTGTGACCTGCCCTCATTCCCACTCCTTCCTTGTTTGTGGGCCATAGGACCTTGAAGCCCTCGTCCATAGAGAAAGCATCCAGACCCTGGCAGTGGTGGTACTTCTTCCTGTGTGCGTCACAGTGTTTGTACGTAGGCCCATCTGCAGAGAGGGCTGTGAAGCAGTCTCCTGGGTCAGAGGCTGTCACGCCCTCCATCCCTCTCAGCCCTGACCTGGTCATTTGTCCTAGTCTAAGCAGTGGAACGCCATCAGTGCTATTGCCCACTGGATCCTGGGCCAACATCAGCCCCAGCCAAGCTAACCTGGTAGCCACACAGGGTCTCAGATGCCAGCAGTCCTGGTGGTGCAGAGCTGCTAACATTCAAGAGAAAAAGGATGTTAGTGGGCACAGGAGTGGCTCCTCATTGACTCTGTCTCCATCACAAGGTGACCTGTATTGGAATGTGGACCCAATCTAAGAGCAAGGCCTCACTCCCTCTGCCACCTGTCTGAACCAAGGTCATCATGTGGCAATCCGCCCAGTCCTAGCTCCAAGCTTATCATGTGCTGTCTCACCCACAGCCACACAGAGGCTGGGGCTTTCTGGCCTTCTCTGCTCTCTCCTATGCCAGGCTTGCCCAGCCTCCCCAGGGGCTCAGCCGTGTTTCTGCCACAGTAATAGATAGGTGTCCCAGTCACTGTTGTGTCGCTGTGATAAAATGCCCTGACCTAAGCAGCTTCGGGATGGAAGGATTTGCTTTGGCTCAGTGGCAGGTCACAAGCCAGCACAGCAGGGAAGTCAGCAGCAGGCTCTTGAGCTGGTCCCAGTGGTCAAGGAGCAGAGATGGGTGTGGTGGCGCACACCTTTAATCCCGCCTTGGGGAGACTGAGGCCTGTGGCTCTCTTGTGAGATCAAGGCCAGTAGGTCTACTTAGTTCAGGACAGCTGGGGCTGCAAATAAAGACCCTGTCCCAAAAAGAAGCAGGAAGGAACTAGACATGGTAGCAAATTCCTTCAGTCCTATCCTTGGGAGACAGTTTGAAGCCAGCCTGCGTTCCATAGCAAGTTCCAGGTCAGTCAGGGTTTTTTGTGGTGAGATTCTTTCTCTTGCAGAGGTGCCCATTTCCATTCCCAGCACCCACATACTGGCAGCCTACAACTACCTCTAATTTCGGCTCCCGTGGATCTGATGCCTTCTTCTGGCTTCTTGCCTTACTGCAGTGCCACAGATACCCACTCAGACATACATATACACACATTTGAAGAAATAAAACTTAAGGCAGGCATGGTGGCACACGCCTTTCATCTTGGCAGCTGGAAGGTAAAGGCAAACGTATCTCACGTTCAGGGCCAGCTTGGTCTACAGAATGAGCTCCAGGCCAGCCAAGGCTACATAGTGAAACCCACTCTCCCAAAATAATAAAATCTTTTTAAAAAACACAGTAACCAATGCTCCTTGACTACCACACTCTAAAAGGCAGTTTCCTTGGACTCCACAGCAGGCCTGGCTCACATTGAATTTCATTTCTGTCTCGTGTTCTGCAGTTTTAGCCCCCTTTAAAGAAGGACCTCTGCTTCCCAAGGAGGCTATCGCCTGCCTTCCTCCAGGGTCCCCACAACAACAGCAGGCGTGGTGGGGGTGGGAGCTGGGTTCCCGACACTGACAGGCCGCTCAGGAAGGTCCCAGTAAAGATCTTGAAGCTTAAAAACAAAAAAAAAGCAAAACAAAACAAAAGCACACAGTAGTAACAGAACGGCCGGTCTATGTTTTCATTGTGATTGATGTGATCAGGACAGCTCCCTCGTGCGAGTGGAGAGACAGAGCCGCTGCTCTTCCAGAGCGCCTGGGTTGACTTCACTGCTCACGTGGTGTCTCGATAGACATTTGAAACTCCAGTCCCGGGGCGTTTAATGTCCCTTTTTGGCCTCCACTGGCACCAGGCACACATGTGGTTCATAGGGAACTTTGCAGTCAAAGGACCAGAAATGTAATTATTTATTTTTCAAAAAAAAAAAAAAAAGAAAAAAAGAAATCCCTGACAGACATACCCAGAGGCCCATCTTCCAGATTATTCTAAATTCTGTCTGGTTGACCATGAACGCTGTCCTATCAGATAAGGAAAAAATGTACTTATAAGAGAGGCCCATTTTGTCTAAGCTGGGAAGATTTCAGACAGGTCCCACAGCGTCAAATGAGTTGAGCCATGGCTTGCTAGTGGTAGGATTGCAGACCCGGCTTTGTGCACCTAACAGGAACTAAGACATTGACATGATCAAGACTGATGAACTCCCACAGTGGCCCAAGTAGAAGAGAATGGTTGCTGGTCCAGGTAACTATGCATCCTAGGGACTGTTGGCACAGGATTCACAGGACTTGACAAAATGAGAACGTGGCCATGTCAAATCCGGTGTCCTCACTTTAACAAATTGGTTTGGGCGGGAGGTTGTAGGGCACACCTTTAATCCCAGCACTCAGGAGGCAGAGGCAGATGGATTTCTGTGAGTTGGAGGTCAGCCTGGTCTACAATGAGTTCCAGGACAGCCAGGGGCTACACAGGGAAACCCTGTCTTGAAAAACAAAAAGATTCTGATTTGGACAGGGTGGGTGTGAGAAAATAGGGGATCAGTAGCAGGGGTCAACCTTCTTGCCCTTCCCACACCCAGCTCAGTGGCTTACATAGCACCATAAACACCTTCCTCAGGCTCTGCAAGGGGTGGACCAGTGCTCGCTGCTTCAGGTGACTGGCCCAGCACATCGGGGCAGCAGCAGGGCCCTGCAAGAACTGGTAGCAAGGCTTTTGGAACTTGTGTTCTGTTGGCCAAAGGCAGAGCCATGTAGCTAAGGGTGGGGGTCAATAGGAGGGAGAGGGTGAACCACCAGCAAGCAGCTGTCCTGCAGCCAGGCGGCTCTGGAGCTGTCCCCATTGGACTCATGTTCTCAGCACTGGGGGTGGGGGCACCTCTGAACAGCTGTCAGGGAGGTGGAGCCTTGGGAAACAGCAGCCAGGCAGGTGAAGAGGCCAGAGTAGCTAGCCACGTGGCTAGTACAGGAATAGCTTACCACATGGGGTCAACTGCTCCTAGGTGTCAGGCTCCTGGGTTGCTAGAAGCAAGGTGGCCACTGGCTATCCATCCCTTCCCTTTCTGCCCCTCACTTCTGAGAGCACATTGGCCACAGCATATGGTCCAATCTGAACATCTCTATTCAGTCCCAGAGCTGCCTGCCCTCACCTCCAGTCCCTGTTGGGTGATTTTGGCTGAACTGACTGGGTTAGGTTGTATTGAAACCTAGGTCCAGCCCAGTCCCAGAGCCAAGTATATGAGCCTAAGTGCACCTACCACCCACTAACCCCAGAAGCCAACCTCTCCTGCAGCTTCCTCTGCTGGTGGCCCTCGTCTTTGGACCGGAAAAGGAAAGGGATATAGGCAGGTCGGCACCATCCTAAGTATGAGATGGGAGAATTTGTCTGGGAAGGTGAACTCCAGTCAGCGCAGAGAAGGGAGAAAAGGTGGGCCTTTGTGTGGATGGTGGCTGGCAAGGTCTCAGCCACACACTGCCCAGGAAGGCATGAAGACCTGTGAGCTTGTCACTGCTGTCTCGTAAGAATAAGCCCTTCTGCCCATCACAGCACCCAGTAAGCAGCAGTGACTCTTCTACAAACCAGAGGCTGAGGCTCGCTCAGGAGCTGACTTCCAGTCAGAACCTGAGACTCCAAGGTGCTTTCTGAGCAAGGGCTTCTCCCGACAGTTGTGTGTGAAGGAGGTTGGGACAGGAGTGGCCTTGCACAGTAAGGCACGGGATGTGTGTGGGGGGGAGTATTGGGGGGAGGTATTGGGGTGTGGGGGGTATTGGGGTGTTAGGGAATGAGAGTTCCTTCTGCTCTAGGGAGAGGAGCTGTGACAAGACCTGGAGATGGCCACGTAGCAGTGGAAGTCTCTGAGTATAGAGAGGGAGGGGATATCAGGGTAGAGGTAGAGGGGCTGCACCCTTGGGTGGTTTGGATTAATGAGGGTTCTAAGCAGGACCTGGGTGCTCAGAATCAGCACTGGCAGCCGGCCTACCCTGCATTGCCACAGAAACTTCTCTTTGCTCACAGGTTGCACATTCATTGAGGAGAATTTTACTTTGAAGTGCCCCAAACATAAGGTAGGTGAACAGGCTCCCCAGGGAAATGCACTCTCTCCCCAACCCATTTCTCTCTGCCTCGCCAGAGGGTTCAAAGGGGGCACTAGGGCCCTAAGGAACTTTCCCACAGCCTCGCTTGGAAGGGCTGGGGTGGGCTGCAGCGGTTGGCCCTGGCCATAATATGCTGTCCCTCCCACAGAGGCTGCCGTTGTAATCCCCACGTGGCCGAGCCTCAGAGGAAGAGGAGCTGCGCCCACAGCCGGTCCTTGATCCCACCCCGGGTCTTGGTTCCGGCTGCTTCGGGCGCTGGCGTGAGGCCCGGGTTGCGAAGAAATCCTGTTCCAGGCCAGACTTGGCGAGGACAGGCCACTGGGCAGCCAGACCCGGGGCGCGCGGCTTCGGGCGGGGTGCAAGTCCCCTACAAGTTCTGAAAACGACGTGGCATGCAAGCTGTGCCCCTGGGAAGAGGCCTAGGGTGCTGCTGGCTCGGTGGACAACATGGGGCAGGACCCAAGTCTTTCTGTAGAGGTCCAGCCAACGGGGGAATGCGACCCTGGCATCCAAGGCTTTGCCCAGAGTCGTGACAGACCTGGGCTCAGGCCATGCGGTCCCTGATATGAGCTGGCCTGGGGTGGTGCCCTATGGCTTCTGTTTGTCCCCTTTCCAGTCTTCCACCCCATTGCTGGAGCCCGGTCTGGAAGCTTGAGGAACTGGGCCTGGCTACCCTCTAGGCAGATGTGCAGCCATCCCTAAGCACCGCCATGGGTTCCAGGAACAGCCGCTCGCTCGGCTTGTGGGCAGGGACAGTGCTAGACTTCGTGTACAAACCTGTGTACCCCTCTATATATATGTTATATAGAATGTATATATGTTGGGAACATGCTCGCTTCTGTGTGTCGCTGCTGTGCGTCGTGTGCTCCACAGCACAGAGCCCTAACCTGGCCTTGGCCGGAGTAGGGGCTACAGTGATGCCCCTTCCTTGTGCAACCACCATCACCGCCGCCACCACCACGGCCAGTCCCCACCTGTCCGTTTGTGTTCTCAGCTCTGTCCACGCTTCAATAGGCCTGATGCAGCCCCCCCTTCCCTGCAACTTCCTGTACATATGACTGTAAAATGGTAAACGTGTGTATTATATCTGGCCTCGTTATATAGTGTATATATATGTATACATATACATATATATAATATATATGAAGACTGTAAATGTTAAGACAACTAGTGTTCTTATTAGTATATTGCTTCACACTGAAGATTGTGTGTATCGAGCTGTTTCTAAAAGATGTTTATTTTCCTTAAGAGTAAAAAAAAACCAGTCATTGCATTCAGATAAAAAAAAAAGTCAATAAAGATACCACGATTGTTTTGGAAGTTTGAGGCCTGTGGATGCCGACCAGATTCCCTAGGGTTGGGTGTGGAGGGAAAGGGCCAGGGGACACAAACAGGGATCCCAGATTGTGCCCGTTGGTAGACCTGTGTGGTCTCAGACTTTGCCAGGTGTACAGAGCTGACCAGGGAATTGTGTGTGACGCTCCAGACATACAGGGAGACGGTAGCCTGGCCTTCAGATGCTGGCTGCCCTCATCACCCCGGGACCTGGTGAGGGGCTGGGGCAAAGAGACAACTGAGACCATCAAGGCCTCTCAAGGTTGATTGATTGAGCTAAAGTGTAGCCATGAGATCAGTGGGACAGCTTGGTCAGCATCAGACCACCCCAAGGCAGAAGCCAGAAAACACACCCTTAGAGCTTCCCAGAAGACAATCCAGGAAGGATGGCAGTCAGATGATGCCGACATCTGCCTACCCAGATAAACAAAAATGAGGTTATAAATAATTTCACTTTTAATTTTCTGTACAAAATCTCTCAACCTAGGAAAATAAAGTTTGCAAAAGTCAAGTAGTCCATGAGCCTGCACAGGGGCCGGCTCAATCGGATCTATGCTATGTACAAGTCTGCCAGGAGGGGAGAGCCTTGGACAGAGTGGCCCTCTGCTAGGGGAAAGGTTTCTTTCCAAAGGACAGGAAAAAGCCACTAAGGTGCCTACAGAGCAAGAGGGTGGCACTAGGCCAGTGCAGCCTCTGTAGTTTCTAGATCTGCCACTAGAGGTCGGCATGATCCTGATTGCTTGTCAGGCTCACCCTCTCTCAAGGACCACAGCCAGTGACAAATGTCTTTAAGGGTCTCTAAGACTGGGGAAACCATCCAAGGTCTAGCTGGAAGTGACAGTGGTCCCGCCGCCCAGGCGCAGGAGCATCTGCTGGCAGTCGAGCAGTAGCCGGTGGTCACCAAGCTTCTCTACAGTGCGTGCGGCCTCAGCCAGCATGCTCACACGCTGTCCGGGGGCCGACAGGAAGGCAGGTGGCAGATAGCAGGAGGCCAGCAGCAAGGCCTCTGTGTGCTCCCGCCATGTGGGTCGAGGCTCCAGCTCAGCTGCAGCACCTGCACAGATGGGTCGTGTCAGGGGAGCAAGGCTTAGGTCTGGCTAAGGCCAGGCTCCATGCAAAGGATGCAAAGGACAAGGTATCTGACCCATGCTGGGCACACAGGTAGGCTCAGCTTCCTATGACTATCTCACAGACTGTCACCCCCGCTGAGTTCCAAAATGCAGCCCCCAGTATTCCTCTTACCAGGCTAAGGCAGCACCCCCCTCCCTGCCAGTGTAAGCACAGCCCCCTCCTCACCTCCTTTGCCACCGGAGCCCGCCCGCCTCCGCAGACTGCGATCCAGGAGCTGGTGTGTCCGTGCAGGACTTGCCCCTGCCATCAGCCGAGCTGTGGCCTCGTGCAGAAACACCTGGGGAGTGGATAACAGCCAGTTTCAGACTTAGTGCCCACTTCTCCCCCGGCTTCCTGCCTCATGCCTCCCAGTGGGAGGTGAAACAATGGGACTTACCCTCCTCATAGCAGGCCGGAAGCTCTGTGCCAAGCGCCTCAGGCTGCTCAGGTCCTGTTGGAAACCGCGCAGCTCCAGCGCAGAAGCCTGGGGCCCATTGCTGGCACTGTGAGCCACCTGGGCTGAGGCTGGTGATTGCTGACGCTGCCACAGGCTGGTGCGGGCCACAAGCAGCAGATCACACAGGAGCAGCTGCATGGCCTGGGGTGGCAGGCAAGGCACACGTCACTGGCGGCTCTGGCCCACAGCACCAGGGGCTGACTGGGCTGTGCTGCTGCGGCCCTGCCCCCGCCTCACATGTACAAGGCGACAGCAATTCACCATGGGTCTACCTTCTCTGCGCCACATGCCTGCAACTTCCCAACAATGGCCCCCAAGAGGAGCCCTGCCGGTCTGCTCACCACACCCTCCCTCCTGGTGGTGGGTGAATGGTGAGCCCATTCTCCCCAGGACTTTAGCCTTCTTCAAACACTAAGGTAAGCCCTTTCAGCACCATTTTGTATTAACTCCAGGAAAGACTAGGAATGGACAGCTGTGACCCTGGCCCAGCCAGGTATCCATCCTACCCCTCACCTTGTCAATGGAGCTGCCAGATGGTGTAGTGGCTAAGCTGTCCCGTAAGTACCCACTGGCCTTCTCACAGATGGCCAGGCTGGCTGGGCCTGATTCCACCTTTCTGTGGTCCAGCAGCGCCCGGGCAGCCTTGAAGGAGTACAGAGCTGCCCTGGGCAGGGGTCTCCTATTGGGGCCAGAGCAGAAACACATGGTAGGTTAACCCAGGCTACAGCCCCTCCCTGAGCCCTTCCACCCTGGTTCTAGTCTCTGGGGCAGAGAGTACACTGTTCACCATATATATATATTTAAGCAAAGTACTGAGGGCCCAAAACTGGGTGAGGAGGACCTGGCAGGGCACTCACTCCATCTCCTGCAGCACTTGCGGCATGTGCTCCACCAGTGGGTACAGGCGCTCAGCTGCCTCCTCATCCCGCCGCAGCCAGTGGATCACCACTGCTGTCAGGGAGGCCCACCACTTGGCCACTGGGTCTGTGCCTATACAAGAGGGAAAGGTGCCTGACCCTCAGCCACACTGCATTGGGCCTGGCAGGAATCGGGATGGGGCTGGAACTCACCAGTGGTAGAAGCCATGCTGGAGCTGACAGAAAAGCTGCAGGCAGGAGCCCCGACAGCATCAGAACAGCTGTTCAGCAACTGCAGGTATCCAAGTGCGTCTGAAAACTCCCTGAGGCAGGTGAGAGCCGTCAGGACAGATAGCAGCAGTTCAGGGTTCTGAATGACACTGGCTTTCCCTAACTGCCCATTAGAGCATAGTCTGACCCTGTCACGGCTCACAGAGGAAACAAAGAGCTAGAGAGGCTCTGAGGACACACACAGTCAGGCTACCTAACAACCTGGACAAGGCTTGCCCAGACTCCCTGCTGGAGTCTTGCTTGAGAGTAGTACAGAAAGCTCACCTGTCTCCATCAGCGGCTCCTGGGCTGGGCTGTGCGACACAGCTCAGTGCTCGCTCCAGGAGATGTTCGCAGAATAGCCGGGTCACCTGAGCCAGCGGATCGACTGTGGGTGGGGGCCAATGGAGCAGAGGTTAGATATCCTCTCCATAATTCCCTTCCCACATCGGCGGGGGCCCCAACCCAGAGCACTTCCTAATTCCAAGTCCTAAATGACATGTAGGCATCGACAGGTAAGTACTTAGTCCTTGCCCTCTGAAGCCTGGGCTACCCAGCCTCTGCCCTCGGAAGGAAAGTGGGCCGGCTGTGCCAGGGTCCCACACTGGAAAGGGGAGTCTACTGAATCACATACCCACTGGCCCTGACCCTCCTCAGCACTCTTCCTGAGAGTCACCTCTCAAGTCCACCCACTGCCCACAGCCCCATGATGCTTCCTGCTTCTGAAGCCCAGCAAGCCTTCCCACAGCTCCAGCCGCATTCAGAGATGAGGGGACAATGCCGGGTGAGGCAGGAGCAGGCGTAAGAATGTAATGAGAGAGCACCTGGGTTCCCAGCCACGCTGTACAGGCTCTCCTGTGGGGCACCATGCACAGCCCAGTCCCCATCCACGAAGAAACGGTGGCCTACAGGGTGGCAGAGCCACTGCATGGCAAGAGGCACTGAACCACTCTGTGCCAGGCAGGCCTGGCGAGCACTACTCAGGAAGAAACGCTGTGGGGAAAGGAACAGGACTGTGACACTGGCTCCAAGCTCAAACCCAGCCCCCCACCTGCTAACCACTGATATACATCTGGGTCAGTCCCTTGCCCTGGAAGGGACAGGTGAGAGGCTAAGACAAGCCCTCAGCCCTGTCCCCCAAGCCTACTTACTGTCAAAAAGTGCAAAGCTCTTGGGAGACTGGTCTTGACCCTCAGGGCAGCAGCCACATAGATCTCCGCCAGTGTTGCCATGGATACAGCATCTCCTGCACATTCGGCCAAGTTCAGGGCACTCAGTGCCAGGTTAGAAGCAGCAAGGTGCCCTCCTGTGTATTTCCCTGCAAACAGGCAAGAGTAAGGACAGGAGGTGACGGGGTGGGTAGGACCCAGCCATACCCATGGCGTGAGGACAGGTGATTGCATGGGTAGGACCCCAGCCCAGCTCCCACCCAGCATACCCATGGCATGCAGCTGATGCAGCTTATGGTAGACAAGTGCTGCATCTCGGGCACTGGCACGAGCATCCATCCTCAGCCCATAGTCTCTCCACAGGCCCCCAGCCTGGCCTGCCAGCCAGCGGCCCACCCAGAGACGCTGCAGCAGGTGGCGGATGAGGTTCCAAAGTAGGCTGCAGGCCAGGTCCAGGTTTGAGGTGGGCAGAGGCCGTCCCAAGGCCTGCAGGGCCAGCCACAGCTGCTGAGCCGCCTGGGCAAAGTCTCCCTGGAGAAAGGGTTGTCTCAGTAAGAAAGTAGCAACAGGGCATCTCCCTACTGGGCCCCTGGAGTCAAAGGAGTTCTAAAGGTGAGAGTGAGGCAGAACGAAGTAAGGACAAAATAAAGGGAGCAGGTAGGGAACCTAGCACCTCTGGGGCCTGGGGGCCTACCCTACTCCCCTACAGGGCCAATCTCTTACCCGGGCCAAGTCCAGGTCAGCTTGTTTGCGATGTCTCCAAAAGTGAACAGCTGGGCCACTGTGGGGCCGGGTCACAGGTTCCCCATAGACAAAGACAAGAGCCAAGCAGGCCAACACCAGTAGTCCATTGGCCAGCCAGACTAGGGGTGGCAGCAACCACTGGGTCCAGTTAGAGCCGCCATCTATAGACAAAGGAAATGTCTGAGGGTCTAGCTCCTAGGACGCCCAAAGTCCCAAAGGTCTGTCCCAACAATGAGGCTGCTGGCCTGACTGACCTCTGCTCTCGGCCTCCAGCATGCTGCGCCCAGAACTGTGATGCGCACCAGCGTCACCGGAGAGACTGGGGATGCCCCAGCCAAACAGCGAGGCCAAGGGGTTGCAGGTCAGACACAGGAAGAC